AGGATATTTTTCCCATTGATTTTTTAAGACAAAGTAGAAGGGAGGAGGAGGGAGAGACAGAGAGAGAAACATGATGTGAGATAGACATATTAATTGGTTGCCTCCCGCATATGCCCCAACCAGGACTAGGAATCAAGCCTGCAACTGAGGTACATGCCCTTGACCAGAATCAAACCTGAGAGCCTTCAGTCCATGAGCCAATGCTTTATCCACTGAGCTAAATCGGCTAGGGCCTTAGCTTTACTTTTAAGTGTTCATCAAGAAAGGGTTATGTTCAGCCTTTTTTCTTCTCTAGCTATTCTTCCTGGATGAGCTACACTAGCAACCGCCTACAAAGACATTTTTCTGTCAATACCCAGAGGATCAAGACTCATAACAAATCCAAGTAAATCATATATCTTTTAGTAGTTTGAGTAATCAGAATAATGTATGATTTCTTTTTTATACTATGAAACCCCTTCCTCAAGGATAATTGGCTGCTCTTTCATATATGACTGACAGTCTTGCCAACCAAGATGCCAAATGCTACAATTTATCAATTTACAAATCCACTGGGAGTGTGTGTGGAGAGTCCTAAACTAGATTTACAAAGGCTAACTCACAGCCTACAACCTAAGTGGAATGACTCTAGAACAGGGGTGGGCAAACTTTTTGACTCGAGGGCCACAATGGGTTCTTAAAATGGACCGGAGGGCCGGAACAAAAGCATGGATGGAGTGTTGGTGTGAACTAATATAAATTCAAAGTAAACATCTACACTAATAAAAGAGAAACATGGTAATTGGCGTACGACCGCTACCCTTCCCATTGGCTAATCAGCGAGATATGCAAATTAACTGTCAGCCAAGATGGCAGCTGGCAGCCAGGCAGCTTGAAACTAACATGAGGCTTGCTTGCTTGCTTTAGTGACTGAGGACTCCAACCGTTCCCCACCTGCCTCTCTGGCCTCTGAGCCTGCAGTTTCAAACATTGTAAAGCTGTCAGAGCTGGGATCTCAGAGCTGGAGTTGATACAGAGTTTCGATTAGAACCAAAACAAACCAGATACCTGCTTTCAGGAGTGGAGGCCTAAGAGCTGGAGCCTCAGAGCTAAAGCTGGCCCAGAAAAT